AGGCTTGTAACTACATATTTTGGTGACCCCGACGTGATACTTTTCGTTTCTTTCGTTCTTTTCGCATTTAATTTTTTTTTTTTTTATTTCGTTGCTTACATTTACAAGCCATAGTTGTTCGTTAAGTGCTGCGCGCCTCAACATAAAATGTATTTTTTTAACCAGAATAAAAACGAAGAATCTCCATAGTCGTAGTTCATCGCATGCTTGTGCATCTACAGTTTGACGTTGTACATAAACTACGTTAGAAAAATCGTCGTTAATCGTTGAGCGCTATAATCAGCTATCTACGCTATTTCGCTCGAACCAACACTTGTGCACACAGTTTGTATTGTAGTTCGGCTGTGAGAACCTTGTTGTGCGCTATATTTACAATTTTTGATGAAAGTACAAGTGCAAATGAAATTGAGGCGAAATCTGTTGGTCAAGAGGCGGTTAGAACACAGGCTGCAGTTCTGAAAAAAAGATCAAGAATTTAAGTGATCGACTCATAGATTGTCTCTGAACTTGATCTCGCGCGCGATGTTGATGACTACGTGCTCCAAGATTACATAAGCATGACATCTGACTTGAAGGTGAAATTTGATAAAATCTATGATAATTTGTTGGACGTGAGCCAGGCCAGCATTGAAGAGGCTACGAGTGTACTTTCAACGCAAGCGCAGAAATCGAAGCAAGATTTAGCAGATTCCACATTTCTCTACCTTCAATTCAGCCGCAGCCGCTGTTCCGCGCTCTTCATTTGTTTTTCCAAGCCACTCTCTATTGCCAGAATTTAAGTTGCCAGAGTTTAAAGGAGGCTACAGAAAATGGTCTGATTTCTCGAATAAGTTCACCACGGTCATTGATAAGTATCCGTATTTGACCAACATTGGAAAACTTCAAGATCTACGATCATGCCTCAAATGAACAGCATTGGAAATGTCAAAAGCTAATTATGCTGCCGCTTTAGAACTGCTTGTTAAGCATTTTAAACGAGCGTCTTGTTTTTCAGGCACATATCGTTGAAATTATGGGTATAAGAAAGCTGGATGAGTCGACTCTCATCAACGTGCGTTAAAATCGATGGGCAGTGTGGAACGGATCGCCGGTATCATAGTACACACTCAGCTGCAAGAACTAGATAGCGCCAAAAGCAAAGCAAGTACTATCTGCCATCTGCCATCTGCCATCTGAAGGAGGATAGCACTACAACCAAGCTAAGAGTCGTGTTTGATAGTTCGGCAACCACTACATTTGGACACTCGCTGAATACTGCACTGATGGCAGGTCCTACCATACAACCGAAATTGTTTTCGATACTTATGCGTTTTCGTACACTTGCAGTAGCCCTCACAGGCTAGAAACACAAGCTTACGTCTCTTGTGCTCTAAGTCACGCGTCACTGTACCAAAGCTAGAATTCTGCCGAACTGCATTATTGGCTCAACGGTCAGCGAAATTTATCAAATGAAATTGTTTGACTGTCGTTATTATTGTTGGTCAGATTCTGCTGTGGTTTTGGCTTGGATTCGCAAAGACGCTTCCAAATTCAATGTCTTCGTTGCCAATCGGGTCGCAGCTAAGAATTCACCACTAGCATGGAATGGCATCATATTCCCACTGAATTAAGCCCGGCGGATTCACGAGGAGCGCTACCCACTGAACTCTCCAGTTCCCCGTTATGGTCCCATTGTCCGAGTTTTCTCAGCAAAGAAAGGGAAGAGTTACCTGTTTCCTGTGTACCTGTCGAACCCTTGCCAGAACTTCGACACGAGGTATTACTCGGAACTTCTGCACAACTTGATCTCTCGATTGGCTGCAAGTTCATCAACTCGTTCTTCAAACTGCAGCGGGTCTTTGCTTGCATTTACAAGTTTGTAAGTCGAATCCGAGGAGCTGAAATAACTGTAAGCCACATGCATCATGGCGCAAATGGCTACTCTTAGCGATAACTACAAGGTCCTGATGGAAGGAAGGCCTGTCAAACCATCTAGCTCAATGGCCGCTCTTGCGACATTCCTTGACGACTTCGGCCTACTCCGCATCGGCGGACGGCTGAAAAATTCGACGCTGTGATTCGAGCAATCATAATTTACTTTCACAAACAGGACTTACATTCTGGACCTCGCGCCATATTGGCTTCGATTCGGCTCCAGTACTGCCCCAGTGACGGTCGTAAGACTGTCTCCAGGTTGCCAAATGCATCTGTTTCGTGCCAAGCCACGATTGGCGCTGACGGCCGCTTTGTTTTGGCCCGCTGTATTTTATGTCACATATGTATGTGATATAAGCAAATACCGCTGTAGTAGATTTTCTGTAAAAAAAAAAAATTGTTATATGCCTGTATTGTTACGCTCATTATCTATTTTCTCTTTTTGTTTTCATTTATTCCAAGCGAAATATCGACTTGCGTTGATATTTCTTTACGTCTGCGTGAAATTAAGCAATAACGTCTGTTGTCAATGTAATGCTATGCAATTGTCAATGCCCGGTAATCTTTTTCGTAAGGTGGAAACCAAATATGAAAGCGTAATTGGATTTTAAAAAGGGTAGAAATGTCTGGAAACAATGATTTGAGCCTTGCAATAGGCAAATCTATGCACTTTGTAAACAAATTATATTCGTTTAATTAAATGGACGGGAAATTCAAATTTATTTATTTATTTGATTAATAGATATAGGGTTGTGGCGGGGATAGTGCTTGCTATAAAATGAAAAATATTATAAATATATACTATAATGGGGTCGGAAATGCTTCCTTCTACTTGCTACATACAATGCACTTTTAACCTATTTTAATGGGCAAAATCGAGCCCAACTTCAAATATTGCCACCATTACTTTAGAAAGCTAAACGAGGGAACTATGCCGAATATTCCATTGATTCTAGGGAATCTAAGAAAATCAAAATTTTCACGACTTTAAACATAAAATCGGGGTATCACCAAATAAATCTAGCGAAACGAGACTGCGAGAAAACTTCATTCGCAGTGAACGGCTGCAAATATGAGTTTTGAAGCATTTTTCAAATAGCCATCAATGACATCCTGAGGAAACACAAAGGAAAAATATGTTACATTTATGTGGATGACGCAAAAATCATTTCTAAAAACGAAACTAACCATGTGCTACACATTGACACATATTTAAAATGCTTGACCGATGCCAACATGAGAGTAGCACAAGAGAAAACCAAGCCTGGAATTCTTAGGGTTTGTGGTGACCCAATACGGGGCAAAAACTAACCCTGAAAAGATCAGGGCGATACAAAAGTATACTGAGCCGAAAAATCTGTTCAGCCTGCGATACTTCCTGGGGCTAGCTGGTTACTACATGAAGTTTATTAAGGACTTCGCAGTAATAGCAAGGCCTCTAATCAATATTCTCAATGGAAAAAATGGCTCGGTGAACAAGCATATATCCAAAGAGGTCACCATTAAATTTGACGAAACTCAACGTAATGCTTACGAAAGATTGAGGAATATCCTGGCTTCAGAAGATGTCACACTTATGTACTAAGACTTCAAGCAGCCCTTTGACCTAACTACTGACGCCTCAATGGATGGCATCGGTGCAGTCCTATCCCAAGGGGGCAGACCTATTTCCATGATTTCACGCACGCTAAAGCAAAGCGAGACACACTACGCCACGAATGAGCGATAATTGTTCACTGATCATCAGCCCCTTACTTTTGCTGTATCAAATAGAAACACGAATGAAAAAATCAAACGATGGAGGGTTTTCACCGATGAACACAACGCAAAAGTGTTCTACAAAGCAGGCAAAGAAAACTACGTTGCGGATGCCCCGTCTCGTCAAAATGTAAAACCCCTGCACAACGATATACAGTTAGACGCTGCAACGATTCACAGCGAAATATCATTGACCTACACGATCAAAACGACTGAAAGCCTATAAACTGTTTCAAAAATCAAATTGTTTTTGAAGAAGCGAAATTCCCATTGAAACGAGCTATTCTACTCTTTGGCCAAAAAATACGTCACCTTATAAACTTTACAGACTTCACAGAAAAAATATCTGACGATACAGTCGAATTGCTACTAAGGGCAACAATCGCGTACAACCGATCCATACATTTGGTCACAGACCAAACACCTATCGACATAATGCTGGCAGCGTCTAACGAACTTAGGCAGGCCATTAAAAATAAAATTGCAAAGGCCCAGCTTGATGGCATTGAAAGATCCAGCCCGAATTTACTAAACAGGGTATTTGAGGTGTGCGAAAAAGTTATCGTAAAAAATAACAGAAAATTAGGAAATAACTTAACAGCGCTTTGCACAGAAGAAACAATTCAAGCAGTCCTGAGAGCGTCTGTTCTCATTAGAGGAAGGGTGGTCCATAAGGACAACCTCAAATGACTTTTGCTCTCAAGTAAAAACCACACTAGCTAAAAAAGCATTTTAAGAGTTACTTTGCTTCTTTTATTTTTACAGGATTGGACTTGCAATCCTACCAGTGTTAGGAGTAATACATGGTCGGATTCTCGAATACTTCCACTCCAACTATATCCCGGTAATCGACGGAAAGGTACTAGTATGGGAGCAACGTGATTTTCTGAAGCACTCAACCAATTTAACAGACTCCGCTAGCATAGCAGATGAAACAGAAAAAAAAAACGAAATTATTCCCTCAGTCGCACATGCGAAAACAGCTAGACGTGGATACAGCGCATATCAAAAATCTATTTTCCGTAGTAAAAGTGCACCACAGAAAGGCAATAAGATTGAGTTCAGCACTTAAGATAATAGCAGGCCAACCGCCTCTGATTTCGAAAAAATAAGGTGGTCCGAATTAAATTTAATTGATGCGAACAATAGGCAGGTAGTCATTAATTTATTAGACAGTGAATGACTTAATTTTTTTGCAATTCTGCATTTGAGTTTATAAAGTTTCGTGCCTTGAAATATAAAATGCATTTAAAAGTGACCGATACTTTTCCGATAAGTCCCAAATTTGACGCATAGTCACCGCCGCTAATTTGACGTACATATTATTGTCTTATTAAAAACTGGTGTATGTATATTGAGCATTCCTAAGTACAACTATGAATACAAAAAAAATATTTAGTTTTGCTTAAACCTATCATTTACTAGAGTATTGTTTGGTTGGCTCCACAATACTATTAATAATTGGGGAACACCTAATTTACATGTTTTGTAATATAAATACAATTCTAGGGAGCATATCTTTATTCGGAGCAGATAAACAGCCTATTTGGGTAAAATCGTATTAATGTTTTTTCTTTTTCTGTGATTATCGAAATTAGCCAATTGGTGTCTTCTGCCTCATCCACTTTACAGATAAAACTGCTTTAAAAAAAGTTACAATGGAAGTTACTTTGGCCTTATTAAAACCGCACGTGGTGCGTAACACATACGCGATGCAGCAGTTAAAGAGCTTAATTGGCAGTAATTTCAATATCTTGGCAGCAAAGGAGCTACGAATAACAAAAGAACTTTCAGAGTGTTTTTACGCGGACCACAAGGACAAATTTTTTTATCATCGCCTTACTACCTTTATGCAGAGGTCTGTAAAAGGTACCTATAATATTTGAATCTTTCTAAAAAAAAAAGTTATAGCGGCCCCTGCTACGCAATTATACTGCAATCTGAGTTATGCATACAAAAGTGGCGTCGACTCATGGGTCCCACCAAGGTGTTTAATGCAGTGTATAACGAACCGGAGTGCATACGCGCCCTCTATGGACTCTCAGACACTCGCAATGCCTGCCATGGGTCAGATAGCGCAATATCTGCGCGGCGAGAGATTGCGATGCTATTCCCGGAGTTCGATATAGGACAAGACCGTATTGGTGCCAATTAAGCTTACAATGAAAGGAAAGACACAATCTAAAGCAATTAATAATTTAATTTAAATAGTGAATAGTGAATATCACACTTTGATAATACATAATTGATTGCAAACAGCCTATTTTTGCTTTACATTTATTGTTTTTGCTAGCTTAAATCAATCAATGATTTGTGAATGATTATGGGAAAAGAAGTGAAATCTTTTATTGATTATGCTTTAATTATTCTTGTGCCTTTCGTAAGGCGCTTCTCGGTAAGTGGGTAAGCCAGTGCTCTAGAGGCAGTATTGGGACGTATGACGGTAGTAGGTGGACCGATGCCGTACCCCAAATTTGGAAGGCGTAGGTGAACATAACACACACAGATTTTACCCAAATAATTGCGATATAATCTACTGTCCATATTTCGACCTGTAGCATCCAGTCTTGCACTGCATCTGTTGCAACGCCCAGGGATTGATGTGATGCTAGTCGTCAGCGTAAGTGGGTAGCAGTAGTCGCGCAGGATCATCAGTGGTGTTGTTACACCCAGCCGCTTATTTTTTTTTTCAAAATTATTTTATAACAAGCGGGAATTGCCCGGCATTACCTGTGGAATGTTTGAGGCTACACATTTAGATTACCTTTTTACCACGTGCATGATCGTGGAAAATCAAACTCCACCCGTACCAACTTGATCTACACTTCTATATGAAAGAAAGTTTAAAGTGCATAAAACAAACAAGTATTAGTGGTGAGCATTTTAATGCCGAAAAATGAAAATCGGTTAGCTATCATCGGAATTTATCATCTCAGATGAAAACGAAAGTAGTAGTGTGAAACACGTCTTAAATTAATTTTCATAAAGATCTTTGAAAATAATATTGAATCCGATCGGATAGTAAACAAAAATTTCATGAAAATATCATGAAGCTGCAATAAGAACGATTGGTCGAAAAGTAGGATCTTGTATGGAAAACTTTCGTTAATTACGAATTTTGATTAATCCCGGCATGTAGTAGTTTCAATATGCTCCTCGCATATATGCCGAACGGTCGGTCGTTAATTAATAATTACTTGTACGAATAACTATTTTGTTTTTCAATATATCTTAACAAATTTCGGCATTTATATATTTCACTTTGCTTCCTAAAAATATTTTCAAAATTCTATCAACATCGGACCACATATAAGGCTCATTTTTTTTTTGTTTTTTTAAGTTATCGTACCCAAGCTTGTCCTTTTTAGTTTCACTATACTCCTTATATATACCACATCTTATTAACATCGGACTACTATATCATTTAGTTTCCATAGGAACAATCGGTCGATAAGTAGATTCTGGTATAGAAACAAACAACATATACCTGAACAGTCAGTTGACGGCGATGGGACCTCTTCGATTTTGTTGGGGTTTATAAAACGGCATCGCTGCTTATTTTTATTCCCTCGCACTGCAGGAAACTGCTTTGGCTCACTCTCAGTGCTCTTACGAATTGTGTAATTACCGTTGTACCAAAGACAATATAAACACTAAGATGAGTAACGCCATACAACAAAATGCTACTATGCAGCTTGATTTTTTTAAAATTGAGAACGAAAACGAAACTTGTAGCATTGCGCTCTCACAGCCGAGAGAACGAAAAATGCTAAAAATAGAATGTGCTCTCAGCTTTGGCTCTATGAGGGCCGTGCAAGCAATTTTTTTTGTATGCGTGTGAATATACATATATAACAGCATATTTGAATGTGTTGTTATCCAATTCTCTGGCAACGCCTTTGGCTGGCAAAGAAACCATTTTGTTAGTTTTTTAGCGCAGATCAAGATAGAGAGGGGGTAATCCCAAGCGCAATAATCTAAATTGAATTAATAAAATATCTAACTAAATATTGAATCAAAAGTACAAATAAATATGTTATTGAATTTTTTAGCAGTTTTTTATTTCTTAATTGGAGAATAAAAATGTAATTTAAAGAAATTATGTAAATATTTGCATCGACTTTAAGATATGTACATATTTTCTACGGAGTCAACCTCAGTATACAAAATGCATTCATCTATCAACAAAAATTTAAGATAGGTCATGATCTGCGCTAGAAAACTAACAAAATTAATTTCTTGCCAGCTAAAGCCAGAGCAGTGAATAACAACACATACATACATACCTTAAAGTTCTTATGCATGTGTAATTCACGCATACAACCAAAGGTGCTTGCACACCATCGGCTGAGACAAGAACTTTTCTCGAGCATACACTGTTCAAAAACAGAAGAGAAATCAATCTATATGTGCTATTTTCTTAATATAGTTATTACACAAGATGCGCCTTGTGTAAAAATTATTATTATCTTAAGTCTACCTATACAATTAATCGTTAGTATTTAAATAAAGCATGAACTTCATGGATAAAGCACAAGCACTTCGCGTCGATCGTCAGCTATAAACTTTCTCTCTCAATGTACTTTAAAAACGAAGCGACGCAAAGAAGCATCGACCAGCTTTGCTGATGGCAGGCTGGCGACTAACTTCGTTGCTCGTGTCAGCATCAGCAAGCCGCGACTTCGGCATTCGTTCGTCTGTTCTTTGGAAAACGAACAACCAGTAGGCAAGCATGCCGCACGAAGCCTCAAAGGCCAGATAAAAGGCCAGGCCAGAAATTTTGCGTCGCATTCAAATGTATGGGCGTTACTCATCTTAGTGTTTATATTGTCTTTGGTTGTACTGTCTGTGTGTGAATTTGCACAAAAGTCAGTGGATATCTTCCCTCTTGAAGGGACGAGCAATATGAAATAATAAAAGGGTTTGCCACGTCGATGCGAAATTCTTGCATTTCGGTTCGTTATCGTTGGTAACGGTCCCTAAGCGTTGCCATGTGTGCATTTAAAATATTTTGAGCTCGGTATTTTGGTTGTGCTTTCAATTGTTTGCGAAAGCAATCCTAAATCAACTGATGGGCAATTGCGATGCTTTTCATATAAAAATATATGGAACTAGATTCTTTATCATATAGTGTAGAAAACAGGCCCTCAACCAGTGCAAAATGTGACGTCTCCAGCAATCTGTGTTCTTCCAATTAACAAAATTCGCGAGAAAAAGCGGGCGCCCAACGCTTTTGTAGCAGACATGAAATACGACGTGCGAAAAGAAAAAAGCAACTCGTGTAAGCCAGTTGCTGGTTTTTCTAGAAAAGGGCTTACGCTTTTTCACAAGCAAAACATGCATGCCAATGCGAGTACCGGATAACAATATATTCCAGCTGTAGTTATTCAAAACGGCTTTTCTCATGCTGTCATAGCAAGGCAGGTAACGTAGTATATAAAAAGAGTGCTGAGAAAATGGAAGGTCTAGGATTTACTAAAAAGTTCCACTTTTTAGCGCAATCAATTCAGGACTTAAATTTAAGAATGGATCAAATGTTCAAACTGATACAGCCGACATTGGACGCAAACAAAGCTTTTCGTGACCTGGTTGAGCATCTCATCTCCCTAAAATCCAAATGACCAACCCGTATTTAAAAATTGGACTGTGGAACTCACGGGGTTAATTTAAGAAAAATGATAAACTTAGGCTCTTTCTTAGTGGCCACACTATAGACATAATGCTGGTAACTGAAACACACATTCGTCTTGGACTGAAAAGTTTTTGCTATGATATTTATCATGCTTATCACCTTAGTGTTAATTGCAGAGATTGCGCCGAGGTCATTGTGAGATCTTCTGTTCGTCACTGTCAGAATAAGCCGAATTGCTGTGAACGTGCACACAAACTCTAGAAGCATGACAATTGCTTCCTTATGTCTTCCACCTAAGGAACCATGGACCAAGGCGAACTTTGAATATATCTTGATTACTTTGGGCAGCAAATTCATTGCAGGTGGGTACTTCAACGCTAAGCATTCATGGGGGAGCAACGTAAGCACGTGTCTTTGAAGAAAACGCTTACTGAAAGCTATAGCCAGCTGCTCATGCCAAGTCCTTTCCACAGGCAACCCAACATTCTATTCGTATAAAACGCACCTCACCACGTTTGCTGGACTTTTTCGTAACAAACGGGATTGCTTGGGATAGGCTAACAGTTCAATCGCTATATGAACAATCCTCGGATCACTTGCCCATACTGGTAATAATGCATCACCCACGTCAATTAAAAACTCGAACGCAACGACTTTTCCCGCCTGGATCCTCTGTTAAAACGTTTAGAGCTGACTTGGACAAAAGAATAAATGTCAACATTGTGTTAAGCGTTCCGCAGGACATTGAGGACACAATCTCCGTGCTCATGGAAAATATAAGGCAATCAGCAATTTGCACTTCTCCTAAGACGCTGCAACAACCGAATCAACGAAAGGGTGTGCAGCTGCCGACAGCAATTAGTGCTGTGCTTTGCATAACGAAAAGTGTCGGAAAGGAATATCCCAGAAGGGGAGATAAACGTGCTCATCTAATCTATAAAAGGCTTGCCAACCGTCTACAAAATGTTCTAAATAGTTACAAGCAGTCTCAAATTGATTGACTTCTAGACGACGCAGGAACAAATGCATAAACAAACTATTCGCTCTGGAAACTGACAAGCTGCTTTAAGCCACTCAATTGTTCCAGTTAGTGAGTAGCTTCTTGAATCATAGAACATTTTGTGTAGTTGTCGATGGTAAAAAGTCGTCAAATCGACCCATACGCGCTGGAGTCCCAGGCAAAGGCAGCGTCCTCGGTCCTTATTGCCACGCATGCAGATGACACTTCTGTGCTGACCAGCAATAGGCACTGCCACAGAGGCGTTACAAGAATACCTGGGTAGCTTCGGACCATGGGTCTTAGAAGGGAATATCAGCATCAATTGTACAAAGATGATATGAATATTTTCTGCTAAGAACAAGCTTTCGCTTAAAAACGAAGTAAGAATTTACAGATCAATACTGACTCCCATATGGACCTATGCACTGCAATGTACGGGATTGCCGCAAAATCGCACCTCAAGAAAATAAGAGTAGCGCAGAGCAAAATTCGTAAAAGGATAGGTAATGCTCCTTGGTATATGAGTACTAGGGACATCGAGAGAGACCAAGGAGCTCCCAAAGTTGGAGACGTAATCCGTCAGCATGCCAAAAGATACCTTGATTGCCTACTCCCATCCCAACCCACTTGCAATTAACCTAACTTCTCATGGAAAAACATGAATAAGGTGCCCCATTAAAGGAGATAAACGTCTCTAGGGTTAAAAAGAGAAGACAAACGGCGCCATCCCTATATATAATACATAATATAACAAATAATCTACAGAATAAAAACAACACTTTTCTCTTTATAGCCCTTTACATCGTAGACCAATTAGTAGCGTCTTGTTAATTTTTTCCAACATACGTGACTAGCTTAAGCTGACATTTTTGGTAGTAGTGATATTGTTAACAATAAAATACATATACATATTTAATAATTAAAGAATGCCAAAAGAAAAGTGTCGTTCAAGCGTCTGGGCTACTCGCCAATGGCAACTGGTGCGAAAATGGTTTTCTAATGACACAAACATAACGGAGGAGGAACGCAACGACTTTTCCCGCCTGGATCCTCTGTTAAAACGTTTAGAGCTGACTTGGACAAAAGAATAAATGTCAACATTGTGTTAAGCGTTCCGCAGGACATTGAGGACACAATCTCCGTGCTCATGGAAAATATAAGGCAATCAGCAATTTGCACTTCTCCTAAGACGCTGCAACAACCGAATCAACGAAAGGGTGTGCAGCTGCCGACAGCAATTAGTGCTGTGCTTTGCATAACGAAAAGTGTCGGAAAGGAATATCCCAGAAGGGGAGATAAACGTGCTCATCTAATCTATAAAAGGCTTGCCAACCGTCTACAAAATGTTCTAAATAGTTACAAGCAGTCTCAAATTGATTGACTTCTAGACGACGCAGGAACAAATGCATAAACAAACTATTCGCTCTGGAAACTGACAAGCTGCTTTAAGCCACTCAATTGTTCCAGTTAGTGAGTAGCTTCTTGAATCATAGAACATTTTGTGTAGTTGTCGATGGTAAAAAGTCGTCAAATCGACCCATACGCGCTGGAGTCCCAGGCAAAGGCAGCGTCCTCGGTCCTTATTGTCACGCATGCAGATGACACTTCTGTGCTGACCAGCAATAGGCACTGCCACAGAGGCGTTACAAGAATACCTGGGTAGCTTCGGACCATGGGTCTTAGAAGGGAATATCAGCATCAATTGTACAAAGATGATATGGATATTTTCTGCTAAGAACAAGCTTTCGCTTAAAAACGAAGTAAGAATTTACAGATCAATACTGACTCCCATATGGACCTATGCACTGCAATGTACGGGATTGCCGCAAAATCGCACCTCAAGAAAATAAGAGTAGCGCAGAGCAAAATTCGTAAAAGGATAGGTAATGCTCCTTGGTATATGAGTACTAGGGACATCGAGAGAGACCAAGGAGCTCCCAAAGTTGGAGACGTAATCCGTCAGCATGCCAAAAGATACCTTGATTGCCTACTCCCATCCCAACCCACTTGCAATTAACCTAACTTCTCATGGAAAAACATGAATAAGGTGCCCCATTAAAGGAGATAAACGTCTCTAGGGTTAAAAAGAGAAGACAAACGGCGCCATCCCTATATATAATACATAATATAACAAATAATCTACAGAATAAAAACAACACTTTTCTCTTTATAGCCCTTTACATCGTAGACCAATTAGTAGCGTCTTGTTAATTTTTTCCAACATACGTGACTAGCTTAAGCTGCCATTTTTGGTAGTAGTGATATTGTTAACAATAAAATACATATACATATTTAATAATTAAAGAATGCCAAAAGAAAAGTGTCGTTCAAGCGTCTGGGCTACTCGCCAATGGCAACTGGTGCGAAAATGGTTTTCTAATGACACAAACATAACGGAGGAGGATAGAGAATCGTTGCTTAAGTTCAATTATGGCAGCGTCATCACGAAACCATCATGAAAGCGGCTGATGCTTTTTCTTAGTTATTGTATGCCATACAGACCAAATACATACATATGTTTTCATCCATGTGCAGAGTGTGCCTCGCTCTCACTTATTCCTCATTGTGCACTTGACAGGCAATTAACAATCCGCATTTTTGGCATGCGTCTGGATCCATATCAAAGTGCAAACGAGCGACAATTTGTGCCTTTTGTGGTCACAAGCCCAACGCATGCATGTCAAAAAAACAAACAAGGACCGTACTCGTCGCCCAAATTTACCCATTGATGAAAATATCTCTGTCTCACGACAAACCCTTGATCAGCTCATTCGCAGACATTTGTGTGTGTAGGCACCTGCCACAGTTAATAAAAAATAATTATAAATATTTAATTGACCTACAATTAATTGTTCGTTAAATAAATATAGATCAGATTCTTCTCAATATGCCTGACTGGACGAAAAAATACCTGACAGAGCATTTAAATTTGAGTGCATATTGCTACCACAGGCACAAAAGCCACACAATTGATTAAATAACCTCTGGCTTGTGACAAACGCCGCGATCTACTTGTGCGCACATCCACACAAAACAAACGTATGTATGTTTGTAGATCTCGGGGTTTTGTGGGAAGCATTGCAGGGAGAAAGAGATGCACACAAGTGCGCAATGAGCAATAAGTGAGAGCGACGCACACTCTGCACATACATAAACACATATGTATGAAATTGGATATGATTTAAGACTGGCATACAATTATTAGGAAAAAGCATCAGCCGCAGCGACGTCGTGCTCTGATCGACATGCGGCTTTATACTGAACGTTCGACTTTCGAGGCTGGCGTTCGGCTGCCACTCTCAGCAGTCTTGCTCTATCTGGGCACATTTAAATGGTCGCAGGCACCTTTGGGGTTCTCTCGTTGCGATTTATCGTGTTCCGATAAAAAGGCTGTTTGGTATATCTATACATTGCATGTTTAGTGCTTTTGGTCTTGCTAGTCCCATAATAATAAAATCTAAAATTTTATATGCTGGATCTCGAAATAAAAACTGAACTAGCATAAGATTATGCTCGTACACTTAAGCACAGCCTAGGTAAAGGTCTTCGCAGATTTTGAGCATACGCGGAAGTTTCAGTATCCCCGTCGTGCACTTTTATCAGACAGTAAAGTGGAGATTCACGAATTTTTTCGGGTGAGCCTGACCATTTATGAAGAATGCGTCTACGCGGTCTCGAAGTGCCATGGCAACAAGAGTGTACGTCGCTTATGCTTCAAGTCGCGTGTGGCTCACTGTACCAAATCTGGAATTTTATCGAGCAGCAATATCGGCTCAACTGCTCTGCGGAATTTGCCATATGAAAGTGTTCGACTGTCGGATTTGCTGTTACTCAAACTCTGCCGTGGTTTTGGCTTGGCTTCGCAATGATGCTTTGAAATTCAATGTTTTCGTTGCCAATCGGGTCGCAGCTAAGAGCTCACCGCTGGCACATTACATAATGGCATCACATTCCCATTAAGTTAAGCCCTGCTGCTTGGTGAGCTCTCCCGGTCTCCATTGTGGGCCCATGTCCCTTAATTCTCAGCAGGGAAAGAAAGGGTGGCCCGCCTCCTATGTGCCCGTCGAATACCTGGCAAAACTTCGGCACAAGGTACTACTCGGAAGTGCAGAGCAACTTGATCTCTCTATTGGCTGCAAGTTTATCAACTCGTTCAAGTTGCAACGGGTCTTTGCTTAAAAATGTTTAAATCGAATCTGAGGAGTTGTAGCTGTATCATGGCACACATTTGTTGCTGCGATCAGCTCAAATGGTTACTCTTGGCGGTGACAAGGCACTGAAGGAAGGAAGGCATGTCAAATCGTCTAGCTCGGTGACCTCTCTTGCTCCATTCCTTGACGACTTCCGCCTTCGCATCGGTGCACGGCTGAATAAATCGTCGTTGCACTTCTCAATGCGCCGTCCGATTTTATTGCCCCATCAGCATCCTGCAACGCGAGCAATAACAGCTTACGTTCATAAACGGAACTGAACGTCGAGCCTTATTATATTCGTTTAGGTTTCATATCTGCATGATTTCGCCCCATCGGCCCATTGGAGTTCGAAAAACAGTCTCCAGCCAAATGCACAAAGTGCTTAACAGGCCACCAGTGAAATGCTATCTCAACCTGTTTAAATGCTTTACTACAAGCGCGGTGCATGCGAGCTTGTGATTCCCTTGTCTACAATATCATATTGTATATTTTCAACGCTCTAAAACGGTTCATCCTGACTAGCTTTTGACCTGCAAGGATCTGGTCTGATCTGGATCGTAAGTGCCAAGAATGAACTGGCAGATTTGAACCGCCTGTTCCTGAGTGACGAGCATGTCAAGGCTGTTCACTAGTTTTGCCTATCCGACTCAATTTAATTGTTGACTATAGGATGCCGCCGTGGGAACTACGAAGCACCACTTTTATTGTTCTGTTCGCTTGTTTGCCATATCACAATTATTAATTCTCGACCATTACTTCCACGTTCAAAGCATTTAGGTGATCTTGAAATGTTGACACCCGCAAGCTTCCTGGGTACACCGCCATCTGCGTCGTACATTGAGCCTTATATAAGAGAGCTTAGTTTCAATCGGCTTTACTATTTTCATATCATATCTCGAAGAAAAGACGACCGAGCCGCGTAGCGAAGCTGCGTAAGCAGCTAGCGACTTATGTGGAGGATGGAGCAACCCATCCCCCACGTTGGCGGAACGCCATGACAAAAATCTGAACAAGACTTGATGACCGCTCAACCGTCCTAACCCTAAATGATGTTGCCGAGATCAGAGTGGACGGAGCCCGCCGAGCAGCACTGATTGCCTACGAGGTTGGGCAAACCATCGCCGACCTCGAGGGTTTTACCTATCCTTTCGAGACTTTTCCCCAGTCGCCTGCTAGGCCACCTCCAAATATTTCGAAACAAACCTGGCGTAACTGCATTGAATATTTGGAGGATCTCGAAGAACCATCACATATGGTATCGCCCTCGATTGTATTATCAGGGCAATGAGCGGAGTATACTGTGACAGAGCTCCCCGGTGGCTCCTGAGTAGCGGGTTGAGGGATAGCATGCTTATCATGCCTTCAACGCTAGAGCATATCATCCTGGGTATGAATATCTTTTGTGCGATGGACACCACGAAGCGATACGGCAACTCTCAACTGGTCCTGGAAACGGGGCCTGAGATGCCAGCCTCGGGCGAAGGGCCGAAAGTAGGCTTCTCACTTCAGGGAAATGGAGAGCATGCTCGGCTACTGAACGAAGAGAACAGCGAGAAAGAAGGAGCCAGGGCCACACTCGGAGTCGGACAGAACCCACGACGGTGGAGGGCTGGGTTGCAGCTGTGTTGGGCATGGGAGTAGTAGGGCGGAGCGGCGTCCATCGAGGAAGTGAATCACCCACATAGGAGGCAGAGTGGCGAGCGGACCTGGGTCCTGAACTGCGGAATTCACTGGAATTCCCCCATATCGCGGAGCAAAGACTACAAGCCGTTGAAGCAAAAGTAATATCCGAAAAATCCGGCTATGCAGAGACTGGTCGAGATGGATGAGCTGGTATAGGTTCCATCGATCCGTTAGTTAGTCCGCACAGCGCATCAATCGTCTTAATCAATAAAAAGACTGGATAATGACGCATTCCGGATGCGTACCACGTCCCTCTAATCAACCACATCCCCGAGCGGTCGTGTCAAGCACGCCTCACGACATTTACGTTGTTCACGGTGCCCAGGTTAGGTTTGTTACAATGCCGGGTGATGCCGTTTGGCCTACATTCGACATTGACATAATAAAACGGCCAGAAATGGAGCTGTATGTGTCTAGCATCGCCAGAGCAACACGTCGAGAATCTGTGGGAGGTTTTCGGGGTAGCAAACCTAAAGTTAGTTCGCTACTCTTCATTGAGCGGGAAGGGGTCCGATCCGAAGAAGGCAGGGGTGATAAGCGACCTTGAGACCCCGACAAAGGGTAAGGAGTTGCGAAAGTGTCTTGGGGTGGCCCCGTGGTACAAGCGTTTCGTGCCTAACTTTGCGGCTTACCTACAGACGCTGACGGCACTGCTGAAGAAGGGTCAGAAATGGCCGTGCGGGGAGGAAAAAGAGAAAGCATTGTGTCAATTGGAGGACAGCTTGACGATCGCCCCTGTATTAGCTTGTCCCGACTTTTCCGCTAGGTTCGTCTTGCGTACTGGTGAGAGTGAACATGGGCTCGGTGCAGTGCTGACGAAGACGATGGAGGGTCTGGAACGAGTGACTCGCGCAGGGATGTAGCTAAACGCCGAAGTGAACTATTCCGTTGTCATGGATCACCTGGCACTAAATCGAGAGTCCCTCTGACAGAATCGCACGCTGGGGTTGCTACTTAAACGGTTCCAGTTCAATGCCCACTAACGGCGGAGCAAGCTCAATATTATGACTCATGGACTTTCAAGGCACCCTCATGAGAGTTGCCTGCAAACAGTAGTGACCGAGTCTTGATTATGCGTGCGAAGATCGCCGAGAAAGCTGTCATGCTCTCTGACTATATCAAAAAGAATGGACATATGGGCCACCGGAAGGACGACGAGGACTATATGCTGCAAAAATTTTACGATGCTTCCACGGTTGGACTACAAGTTCGTGTGTGATAAAAGAGTACAATTTTACGAATTTTTAAGTCCTCCCTAACAAAACTTGTGGCAGAAAGTCCAATACACTGCTCCCT